ACACCCTCTCCATATACTTTGGGAATTTGTGTCAAGTGTCCTCAGTGCGCTGAGGGACCACCAAGGCGAAAAAGAAAATGTTATGTAACAGAAGCGATGTTTTTATCCTTCATCACACCGAGAAAATACTAGTATTTATTGTTCTGTAGAACTTAGATACTTGGTACATATGAATGAAAAACTGATTTCAGCTACCTGCAGCTTAGGTAATAACTTATTTTCCCTCTGGTTAATATCAGCAAATTGCTTCCTTGTTTAACAAAAAGCACTCATGCAATGGAATGAAAATGATAGAGACTTTGTAAATGACATGTTGGTTTGCTGCACCAGATGACTTACTTGAACAAGATGAACATATACCTTTCATTGACAATTTAGTGCACTTTCATTGTTTGGTACTAAGCACTTGTTGAGTATAAGCAATTTTTTTTAAAATCGGTTAGCTGGGATGCCAAAGATTTCTTTAGGCTACAACTAAGTTCATGGTTTCTTGAAGGATAATGGGTAGTTGATCTGCAAACTTCAGCTCTTGTTTACCAAACATTAGAAATGGGTTAAATTGTTGGTAAGTGTAGATAAATGTAAATTTGTTTACAGGGTTGGGTGAAATTTCAATCACTTAGATTTTCTACTTCCAATGAACTGGGGTATATTTCTGGCAGGTGGGGTGCAACCCCACCTGCCAGAAATATACCCTTAAAATACATGCAGATTTCCAAACTTGGGAGTTATTTAAAAATTAAAAACAGCAATTTTTGGGCCTCCACTGAGTGGTTTTACCATACTGGGGGTGGAATATTGTTTCAGCAAACTTCATACGAGTGACTTCATCCTTACCAATCTGCCTGCCAAGTTCAGAGATATTGGAAGTAGTCAAGAGGAAATTTTCTTCCATCTCAACTTCACTTTCCAAAGAAGAACATGATCAGAAACAGACCATATAGGCCATTGAGGATGCTTCCTCATTCAAAGTGATTATAATTGATCTTGGGTTTCAACTTCCAACTTTTCCATCAATTCTCTATATTCATTGATTCTCTGAACAAACAATAAAATGGCAATCTCAGGCTTTAAGTGTACTTCATGATGGAGGATCCACAACCCTATGAGATAGAGGATAGAGGCCCACATTTTTTTTCTCGCTCTCTTTTGTTTCTTCTTTCCTTCATCTTCCTGAGGTGGAGGTGACCGGAACAAAGACTCCTGTCTGCGGTAGGCCTGGAGCGATGGCCTTGCTGAGACCTTGCATAAGTCCTGGAGCCATGTTTGGGACCCTAGGCAATGAGGACAAACTGTTTTTAAGTTCTTTCTTTTTATTCTTTTGTACTTCAAAATAGCACCGGATTGTGGCAACAGAATACTTTTCACTCTATCTCCCTAGATATATGTGACAATAAATCATTCATAAATAATTCATTCATTCATTCACATAGACAATACCAATGATTCACAACTCTCAGTGGGAAGAAATTTCTCATATCAGTCCTAAATCACCAACCCATTCCCTGAGAGTCTGCCCTTGTGTTCTTGATTTCCCAACCAAAATAACAACTTCTCAGTGTCTACCTGTCAAGCACCTTCAAAATTTTGTATGTTTTAATAGAAAAATCACCTCTTAAGTTCCAGAAAGCATGGGTCAAATTTATTCAGCATCTCTTCACCCTGTGCCCCTCAATGGATTTCTGGACCAAGCTGTGACTAGCAATTACAAAAACATATTCTTAGAATGGAGTATCCCACTAGGAACATGCATCCCTCAGGATCTGGGTGGAAAATCATGGGGAACCTGAATTCCCAACAAGTATTCCTAACAGATGAGAACCCACGCCAAGACCATGAAATACATTACCATAGCACATTATGAAATAAATGGTATTTAAAGACTTTTTCATTGTTCTTTGCACAACCAATAGACAGTATTTAATTCTGTTTGAGTTTTTTGTCCTTTGTGTGAAAAACTCAGAATCTAACACAAAAAAGATTCACTCTTACACATTTGGGGCTTGATGCGCTTACCTGTGCTCCAACAGAGAGCTTGAGACTAGCATTGGACATTTTAATCTTTGGCAAGAGTGTAGAATTGTCCAATAGACTCTCCACTTGATACCATTTTCAATTACTTTAAGCGTTTTTATAACTTCTGGCTAAGTTGGTAACACCCATTTAGATTGTTCCTTAAAGTTAAACTGGCTCCATTCCATCACCATGTGGTAATTCTAGTTTGATATCTGGTGGGTTTATATCAGGGATGGCATGGCAGGAATTTCAGATGGTGGAGTTGCCCTATCTGCTATCCGAAGAGTTGATGGAAAATGTGACCCACCAACAATGGCCTGGCCTGCAGCCATTTAATGCTCAGTGGAGTTTTCGTTGGCTCAGAGTAAGACTTCTGCCCCTAATTGTAGAAGAAACCCAAATTAGCTTCCAGCCAATCTGACTGGGTGGTAGCTCAGTCGTCCCAACTTCACCTGGTTGAATGGTGGCCATTACTGTGGCTTAGGCAGACAGCAAAGCAGAGAAGCTAATGGAGAATAGACTTCAGTTAAGTCTAGGGTATTAGCAGGGCCTGGCTATCAGACCGGGGTGGGGCAGGGTCTTATGAATTTGGTGAGGTGTGGGGTGTCCTGTGGACTCAGGGACACCTGAAGGAGGCAACCTGTTCCCAATAGTATCTGGCATGTTACCCCCTTTTCCAAAGATGAGTAGTAGCCAGGACTACATGAGGCATTTAAGTAGCTTTTAATTCACCATTTGATGGTCTCAGTAAGACCAAGGGTGAGAGGCCACCCAGTGTGCTCTCATGAAGTGGGAAATGGATTGAGGTGATTTGGTATGTGGCAGACAGACCATATGGTGCAATTTACACATCTCAACCACCCCCAACAGCAAATCCACTGGCTGGGGGACTGTAAAGTTTCACCCAGAATGTAAAATTACACTGGAGAATTAAATCAGATGGATTGTAAATTGAGCAGCTGTCACAAAGACTTGTGCTTTCTAAGGCAGGTTATGTTAAAATTACAATCTATGAATCAGTGACCCTAGTTATGGGATTTGACAGCAGGTAAAATTTTGCCATGGTAATACACAAAGCTCAAAAGACAATCACTTATGTAAATGTTGCAGTTTGACACATGTTTATATATGAACAGCGCTATCAAGCAGCACCTGCTCAGCAATAACCCCACTCAGCTCCTGACCTCATTACAGCCTTGGTTCAAACATGGACAAAAGAGCTGAATTCCAGAGGTGAGGTGAGAGTGACAGCCAATGACATCAAGGTTGTATTTGACAAAGTGTGGCATCAAGGAGCCCTAGCAAAACTGGAATCAATGGGTATCAGGGGGCACGCACTCCGGTGGTTGGAGTCATACCTGGCACATAGGAAGGTGGTCATGGTTGTGGGAGGTACGTCATCTCACCTCCAGGACATCTCTGCAGGAGTTCCTCAGGGTAGTGTTCTAGGCCCAACCATCTTCAGCTGCTTCATCAATGACCTTCCCTTCATCATAAGGTCAGAAGTGGGGATGTTCGCCGATGATCACACAATGTTCAGCACCATTTGTGACTCCTCAGATACTGAAGCAGCCCATGTTCAAATGCAACAAGATCTGGACAATATCGAGGCTTGGGCTGACAAATGGCAAGTAACATTCACACAACACAAATGCCAGGCTATGACCATCACCAATAAGAGACAATCTAACCACCACCCATTGATACACAATGGTGTTACCATCATTGAATCCCACACCGTCAACATCCTGGGGGTTACCATTGACCAGAAACTCAACTGGACTCACCACATAAGCACAATGGCTACAAGAACAGGTCAGAGGCTGGAAATATTGTGGTGAATAACACACCTCCTGACTCCCCAAAGCCTGTCCACCATCTACAAGGCACAATGTCAGGAGTGTGATGGAATACTCCCCAATTGCCTGGATGAGTTCAGCCCCAACAACACTCAAGAAGCTTCACACCATCAAGGACAAAGCAGCTCGCTTGATTGGCTCCATATCCACAAACATTCACTCCCTCCACCACTGATGCTCAGTAGCAGCAGTGTGTACTATCTACAAAATGCACTGCAGAAATTCAGCAAAGATCCTCAGACAGCATCTTCTAAACCCATGATAATTTACAAGAAGGACAAGGGCAGCAGATACATGGGAACACCACCACCCGCAAGTTCCCCTCCAAGCTCCTTCTCTAATGCATTATAGGTTAACCCACAGCAGGGGGGTTGCAGCAGTTCAAGAAGGCAGCTCACCACCACCTTCTCAAGGGCAACTAGGGATGGGGCAATAAATGCTGGCCCAGGCAATCAAGTCTACACCCCACAGAAATGAGTAAATAATAAAAAGAAAGAAAAGTTGGGATCTGTAAGCTTTAGCAGAAAATGTTCTTTTGGTCTGCCTCTGCTACCTTTATATAAAACAAAAACAGAAAGTGCTTGAGAAACTCAGCAGATCTGGCAGCATTTGTGGGCAGAATTAATGTTTTGAGTCCAGTAGCCATTCTTTAGAACTTTATGTACATGTCCATTCCATTCCAACCTCCACCCTTTCCCCAATAACGTCCCAAAAACATCCAAGTGTAACCAATGCTCAAAACATCCCTTTGATGCTGTTATCGTGCCTTATAAATGGTTATAACGAAACACGGGACAGAATCAGTAAATATTGCAATTCTGTCCAGTTTGAATGCATTGTGAATAACGCCATCCCTTTGGTTTGGGGCACTGTGTATCAATAGAGCATGCTTGATATAATCGTACATGTATTAATTGTACACAGAAAACATTTTTGGAAAATGGAATACATATATTAAGCCATTCACACACACACATAAGTACACGCACACTAAGTTACTGTAACCAATCAGGGCTGGTTGGCGGTTTGGGGGAAGCCCTTACAGTCTGTGTGTGTGTGAGTGAGAGAGAGATGAGCTCGGCTCCGCGGGACTCGAGTTCATTCATTCGGAAACTTAAACCATGTGAGACAGCGAGCAAGTGAGCGACAGAGAGAGCAGCGGCTCGCAACCTCGTACAAATTGACATTACTGTTTAAGCTGCCTTCATTCAGTCACAAAAAAAATCATACAGAAAAGGTGGAATCAACCAGCGCCTCACTCTTTTCATTGCCATACGCAGAGAGGGTTTTGGTTTGGTTTTACATGGTAGCAAGAATCAAGTTTATATTAAGTACAGCGCACTGAGGGAATACAAGAATGCTTCCGAACCACACACTCTGTATGTTGTATCTACTCCACATCACGGCTGCAATAGTTTCAGGTACAGTAACTTTCTTTTCAGAATACTTTCTATTCAGACAGAAATACCTTTAACACATTTCAGTTTCAACCTATAAACCATTAAATATTGGGCGAAAAGTTGTGTTCCTAATTAGTTGACCCTAGAATAATATGATCATTGCACTTGTACAGTTTTGCTTAAAGTCTGTGGGGAAGAAAAAAGGGTAACATTTTACTGAGCCTTTTTCAGGTTTGTTTTTCTCTCTCATTAATTAGGTTGTGTTTGTTCTCTCCATCCCCTGGCAGGTCTCGGGACTTTCCGAGAGGAATCTGAGATTGTTTTCCCGGCGGTTTTACCGAGTAGCCCAGGGGCCGGGGCTGAGGCCGGGACAACATCCAGGGAAGTGCGCTCTATCTCGGCCGGGGGCGATGAATATGAATCGCAGGAGTTTTATCCACGGGAGTTACAGCCGCTCTTGGCCCCGGTACGGGCACTGCAGCTGAAGATCCCAGCGTTTGGCCGAGAGCTGTACCTGAGCCTACGGCGGGACAGCCGCTTCTTATCGGGCAGTTTCACGGTGCATAGCCACCGGGGCCGCTCCCACAGCTCGCTGCTGCCTTCCCAAGCCGAGCTCTCCTGCTACTACAGCGGCTTCGTGCACTCTTACCGCGGCTCGCTCGCCTCCTTCAGTACCTGCGGGGGTCTGGTAAGCTCACAGCTGGCACCCCTCACCCCCTCTGCCCCCTGTCCCTCACCCCCACTACCCCCTGTCCCTCACCCCCCTGCTCCTCACCCCCACTGCCCCCTGTCCCTCACCCCCACTGCCCCCTGCTCCTCACCCCCTCTGCCCCCTGTCCCTCACCCCCACTGGCCCCTGTCCCTCAC